GAAACGAGTCGACCGGTGCTTCAAACACCAAAATCACAGTCGATCCAAAATTGAATTGCCCGAATAGTTCGCCTTTTGTTTGTGCAATTTGTTCGGTAAAATGCAAATCACGAAAATCCGCCTCGGATCCGCGATCTGTGCGTGTTGTCTCCGCATCCGGACCACGTTGTATCATTGGCCAAATTCGGGCCAGTTGTTTGGGGCGAATAGGCATATTGGTCACTAGATCCGGATCTTTGTACACACTGATGCTGCCCACATTCGTGGCACCGACAGCCACGTAGGCGAAGAAACCGTATCGCCATCGACCCACATAAATCACACGTTCATTGGTACAGTAAAGTCGATCGAGTTGACGGACAAACGGTGGTGCGACGGAATAAAGTTTCCCTATTGTGAAAAGAATATAGAATGAATGTGAGCACCACAAAAACAGAACTGATTTATGCGTTGTAAGAAACAAGCAAAACGGTGGCGAACAGACTCATTGCTTTCGTTGTATTTGGTTGTAAGACAAAAGGGAGTAGAAGGCTTTTGCTCACTATCACCTGTTCAACGCAGTTATTCTAAAGTCAGAAGTTACTAAAAATCTACGTGATGAACTATTAGTCAAAACACTGGGGGTACCGTTAATCCATTGCATAAAAACGGGAATATTACGTCACGAAATGGCAGCATTTTGTTCATACTCCCCACGCGATAGATGGTACGGATGACCGCGCTAAAATCACGGATGTTTCGAAGCACATTAACCATTCAAAGGAATTAGGAATGGTAACATTTTATGTGACATTCTCTCTCAACTGATGGCGAAAACCTGATCGATTGGAGGATTGTGTGGAACTGTTTTGGTAAACTACTATAAAATGATAAAAACTGAGAAAAATACACAGGTTAAGGGAGTAAACAAAACTTTGGTTTCTAGACAAGTAAGATAACTCCATTGAAGTGGAATACGAAGGGATGCGATTTTTTCAAACCCGGTAAACCTGTAACTGAATGGTCTCAATCACATCAGATAACCAGTGGAGCTTGTTGAAAGTGGCGGACTGGACCAGAAAAAGACCTGATATGGGACTAATCCAAAAATCTCAAGCTTCTTGGGGTTTCTATAGTAGCTGTCATTCTATAAATTCAGTGCTGGATAGGGGGTAAGGTGTTGTGTGAATGAATAGCGATACCATGAGATCACCGGAGTAGCGGTTAAGCTATATACGCCATGGGCTCACTAACAGACTGTGTCCAAACCTCGTAACACTCTTGCCTCCTCACCCCTAGTCCATTATTACTTTCATAGCAACCGTCTGTTAGTGTGTACCCATTTTTAAACTCATTGAGTTATTATGCACCAAGAGACAAAAGTATTGTCGTCAGCATCACACTGTGTGAATAATCTCCCCTAATTGTCCAAGAGGGGAACACACCCGTAAACCGGCCATATGCGTATGGCGCAGTCCTCCAACTGCGTTGACACCATTGACCAAGTTGGGAGTGCAATCTGAGTTGCAGCTTGTGCACAAAAATGATGCACATGCAAAACACACAGTGAGGTGACGTGACGTGACGTGAGTTGCGGGTGGTAATTATTGGACACATTCTTCCCCGAGGAGCTCGATCAGAAACAGATTAGCTGTGGATTTCATTAAGCAAATGGATTTATTCGGTTTTGGTCTTAAGCGTTTGTATACTTTTGCAGACGCTTAAGTTCCCTTGGACCAACTCACAACCCACAATCCATCTCTCGGTAGTCCCGGCAATCGAATGAACTAGTATCATTTGATCATTGAGAATCCCACATCCAATCCGAAGACCAAATTAAACCCAAAATAACCTGTGATGTTAATTTTGAGTATTGAGTATTGAAACATATATATCTGAACATCGTGATATTTATTAAGATGTATTAGTATGACCAAGAATCACTGAAAACGAGTGTGTTCTCCAATTCTTTGTTCTATTTGAGAATAAATTCATTTGAATGAGACTTTGCCAGAAATTTTGATCGATAAATTTAGTGGGGTCTCTGCTGACTATCCCCGTTTCAACCATCATCGAGAAAAGGCAGTGAAAAAAGTCATATCTAGTCAAAACGATGTTGAATAAAAAACCGTACCCGGAAAATGCCGCCGCATTTGAATTGACCAATCCGTGGGGGAATGAAAACGATGATAATCTCCGGGTGCTAGATAGACCAGCAAATGATACAGGTCTGTGATCTGATCATCCTCCCAAACGGGCGAGTTTGACTCTAAGCAAGAAGATGATCCGTCACATGGAAATTGTGACCCACTGGGACCGAGTAGTAAACTTTGCGCGTACAAATAATCCTCCAGTCGAAGACTCCTGGATGCCGCGCATGAGGATCGAGCTGTTTGACGAGTTCTACCCAAGACCGGTGTAGAGGTTTTGTTCACCTGAACATTGGTCGATGGGTATACTGGTAGGTAGTCCAATCCACGTCCAGTTACACAAATCCGATGTTGCACTGTCAAATCAACGGCTGATCGCACTGGATGCAATCCGGATGTGAGATTTGAGTTCAACGATGTCCCTCCGTTGCTAATCTTCTCTAACTCAGTCCAAGTGTTTGGTCCAAGGAGTCCACGTAGAGTGTAAAACAATCCTTTTACCTGTTCCAGATGTCCAGCTTCAATGCGACCACAACTAAGAACGCGTCCATCTGCAGGGCTAACCTTGAACGTGTGCGCGAATGAGAAGAAAAGAAAAAGAAAACGTTTTTCTATGGTTGTATCAGGATTGTTGTAGATGACAGTATTTGTGGGGAGATCAAACGCAAAACACCCATGAAAACGTGCGTAGCAAGTCTTGCAGATGGTAAAATCAATCGATTTCTCTGTCGTAAGGTATTTTTTTATATTTAGGATATTTACCGGGCCCTCATTGTTATGCTACTAGTAGAACATTTCTACCAACGAGATTTATGCGATCGTCGTCGGTGGTGAAGTATGGTATGGGTGTTCGGAATCCTCGGAAAATAATGTGCTACCTTTCCCACTTCACAGGAGGTGGTGGTGCTGGTCAAGTATCACAAGTACTACTCACATGGGCAAGCAAACGCACACACACGCACAAGCACACAGCATTCGGCTTAATGCTGCTGTCTCCGGTTTGTCGAGACAAGGGGTTATGAAATAACGCACTAAGTGATGCCATACAGTAACGGTCGTTCAGTTTGCACGTCGAAGGAAGGAGACAACGAAACACTAAGCAGGACAACCTTGGTCACATTTCTGTTACTATATTTGTGGATAATGTTACTGATTTAATAAGGGTTCTGTTCAAACAGATCGATTCAGTTTGAGTTAATCTCAAATTTAACATATACTATTTGCACACATATACACACACATCCATCCTCACACTTTTGTGTTTACTTTGCACACATTTCAAGCTTGATAACTAACGATCAGCTCAAAGTTATTTACCTAATTTCACAGTGCTAAGATCATATTGAAGATTTTTTAATGCAAAAAGTCTCTTGAAGGAAAGAATTAAACCCTTCAGATAAACAAAATTGGCTTCCCAACTCCTCAGCATCCAGCCCAAACAGATAGCTGGTATCAGGCAGGAATAAATACGGTCAAAGGGTTTATGATGTTTTCAAGATAAACTCAACATTATCTTTAAGGGCTGAAGCACTAGAAAGCTGAAGTATCTGTCTCAAGTTGAATTTTATTGGCAAAATGCTAACTTTTATCTCAGAATGAAATGAACCATCAAAAATCAGGCATACCACGGGGCGATGTAAGAATCAACAATTCGAGACTGCAAACGAGAATCTCCGTGTTGGATGGAAAGTTTACTTGAAAAAACTTGCTTGCCCTCATTGAATAAAAAGACAGTGCGGTATGAGCGGTCGGGGTTGTTTATCATAAATACATCATCACCCCCAACTGCTAATTCAAATCCCAACACTATCGTTTATATTCCTCAATTGTTGATTATTCACGGTCTTAACCTAAAATTGATGGACGACACGCGCAGTTGCTCACAGACATTAGGAATCAAAATTTTATTTTCTTAGATTATGAGATATGCTCCCGCCACACAGTTATAAGCAAACAATTCTGTTCAATAATTCGTTGTCAACTGTGGCTAGTACAGTTCACATAAGGAAGTAGTTAGGGCTGACAGGCTGTGGAAAAAGAGTATAACACGTTTCACACCACTAGATCAACACACTTGGTCTTTACCCGGGTTGAAAGGTGTGACGGGAGTAACTGGACCGCGCTCACGAATGGCATGATTTCGTCTTATTGGTATGGGTAGGCTAAGGATGGTCAAATGCGCCAGCGTGGTACTTTATTCCATTGGAACTATTACTATGCCATTCGACCGATGTGCAAATAACAGTGTATCGACTGACACATCAATACCCTTATACACACATTTTGTTACTGGAAGTCAGTGGATAAAGCCTAGGAAATCCACTTAGTTCTCTTCTCTCTTAAGCTGTTCCAAGTCACACATCGAGCAGTGAATTACCTGCAAAAATCCCGTTTTCCTGATCGATAAACCTTCGTTTTAGACTTGAAATAACGTATTGGTATCTAGTGGTTAAGGACATGGCCATATTTGTTTCCGTCGACACGATGAATGTACACATTCGTTCCGAACAAAAGTGAAACGGACACACGGGATTGCGATTCTGGTGGTTACGCAGTAACTTCAAAATACTTTGATTATTTTGAGCCGCTACCCCTACCCTTTCATGACCCAAGGGACGCAATCGGTCATTGGTCAAACTGCGGCGCACGTATGCGATTTCATTCAATATGATTCGTAAACGGTGTACAAGGTCGGCTGGAGTCCTATCCTTTGTAGCACTGTGTGCTTCGAAGTGCCGACTCATTTCCCCCAGACCTGACCGATTCATATGTGAGTTTGCAAAAAATAGTTTGCGCTGTGACAACAATACAAAGTATACCTCTCCCGATGGAGATTTTACTGGGGTTCAGATCGATGCAAATGTAGACTATAGATGAATCGAGGACAGAATAAAGACCTAAAGATAAACATAGGTTGCAAATTGTATTGTTATTAGGGATTCATGCTTTTGTTTATTCTGATCTGAATTAAACTCAGGTAATTCTACACAAACGATGGATCACGCACAAACCAATCCTCTTTTCAAATCACTCGTGTCTCGGTTTACGGGCATCAATCCTGTATTACACGTGCAATGTTACCTTTTTCCACATAGTCAGCGGGTCCTGAAAAGTCAGTTAATGGTATGAAAATTACAGGGGGCCTCACAAACCGACTCGGGAAACGCGTTTTGCTGAAGAAGTTTACATCCGGTGACACAGAAAATCGAGTGAAGCGGGGTGGACGGTACGAGGAGGTCAAATGACCAAGTGAGTTTAAACCTAATGAACCAAATGAACAGAGCTATTGATTGGGAAATCGGAAATATCTTTGATTACAACGCACGAGTGAGTTTTAGGCGAACAACTTAATCAGTCTCAGGAATGGGACAGGAAATGGCGAGTCACGTGGACCGCTAGACAGTCTGATTCATGCAATTATCAAACTAATGGACTTCTGCTGATTCCAAGTACCACGGTTTTCCCGAATCCTCACGCTATAGTTTTATTCAATTGATTTATGAACATGGTATACATATACGTTTCTTGATTGCGTGACGGTCAAAAACATACCCCGTATTTCCGCTCACCTTCCTCCATCGCTAATAGCAGCACGAAAACATGTGAAATGAAGCTATTTCACACATTTTCGACATTTGCAATCAATAAATACTATGATTAACACATAAAAAGATCAACTGCAATTTGAACAAGACATAAGTTGAGTAATTGTAGTTCTCGTAATCAAACAAATCATGGGGGGAGGGGACATAGTGAGTGATCGAGAGGGACAGAGAGGGAATCCGTTACGAACAAACCCCGTGAAGATCCTCGTAAATTGCAAGCTTTTCTGGATATTTTAAGTGCTGGTGTAGCGTTTTGCGTTTGGACCTTCAAAGTGTAAAATGCTGCTCCAAGATTCGGTTGGTCCAGCACCCATTCTCACTCTGACTGGGGAAGTAGTGGAGGAAGCGGACAAGTTTTGCTGTTTGGGTAACTGTATCTCACCTAGTGGACGCATCACATATGAAGTAATGGCTCACATACAAAAGGCTCGGTTGGCATTTGTCAACTTGTCACGTCTGTGGTGCTGTCGCGACATCCGACTATTTGTGAAGGGTCGAGTATATATTGCAACAGTTCGACCATTCCTGGTCTACGGTGCAGAGACACGGCTACTACGGGAATAGGATAAACATCGATTGCCAGTGTTCGAACACCAATGTCTACGTCGCGTAGCACGAGTCTGGCGAGGTAACCGGACTAGCAATGCTGAGGTTAGGCGCAGAGTTTTAGGCGGTTGTGGTCGCCTACTGGAGAAAGTGATTGACCCCCACAGATTACGTTGGTTGAGACATGTGTTACGCATGTGACCAAATAGGTTGTCCCTGTGAGCGATATTCGCTGAGGCAGGTAGCGGTTGAAAAAAGGTCAAGGGTGGTCAAACGAAGACCTGGCATGAGGGTATGAAAACTCTAACCAGGAGACTGGCTCACATATACCCCGTTAGGCTCCCTGGATGGGGACCCCGAGAGGATGGTAACCGGACGTTAGAGACATTCCGTGACGTGGCTGGGTGTCGCAAACAGTGAAGCTCGTGCATTTACCCGTTAGTCTCCTAACATCACTCTATATGAATCGTTCATCTTCCGCTTGAATTTGCTTTCAACATTCCAATCTTCGTTCTGCTTTTTTATCCAAATGGGTAACCAAAAGACAGCAACTAAAACCGGCGCAGGAAGGTGCATGGTTAATGGTTGTAAAAACTGAACTGAACTGAACTGAAGTGAACTGAACATGGGTCGGTTAGGTGTGCACAATAAGCTATTATGCGCTTCAAACCAGTTTGATGGTTTAACAATCGTATGCCATTTATTCCCATCGACATCGGGTTCAGCCTTTGAACATTAAGTAAAGTTAAGTATTGAATGTACGAGTGTCGTTCATCGATACAACTGATCTCTTGTCTGCTCCAAGCGGTTATAACAACCTCGAGGTGATGAACTGGGCGCTAGTGAGTATATTCGCAGTTTTGTGGCTGAAGCTACAAAAATCGACTTCGAACGAATAGAGCACAGCGTGATATCGCAATCGCGGCCAACACACACCTATCCGACCTAAACTGCATTTGGTACTTTTAACTTTGAATAAAGAGCACAACACTGTGATAGAGAGTGATTCGATTCCGGCTAGGGGTTGCTGCACAAAGTGGAAATAGTCCACGTATCACAATCGTTTACAATCCTAGGTAATTTACTCTTTCACATGCGTGGTTGCCACGGTAATGTGAACGCATTTGTTCTGGTTAACTTTGAGTTTCCGTTAGTCGAATTAGATTAGTTTCTACACCATCCGAATGTCAAAGCCACGTAGTTTGACCAAATCGAGTGTACACGAGAGCTTAGTTGTATTAGATTGCTGAAAATCTCCCAAAGTGCAAGTATTGATCAATTAAGGTGAATTCTCAATGCAGTGACACCGAAAAGATCCCCTCCTATCCTCAACTAATAAAGATAGCCGAAATTGGGAGTATGTTGTCTCTATCTGTTTCCATATTGAACTGGATCTGAAGTAAATGTAATTCAGCTGACAACTTATCGATTCCCCTAGCGCTTCGGTTGATTATTCAAACTTGATTGACGTATCTCCTTTATGGCAACATACCGTTCCATATCTTATTAGCTTGTTTTCCGGACCAGATATCAATAAATCAGATAGACTACAGAACCCAACGGGTCACCCATAATCACACCGTTCATTTNGTCCAAATCGCGGTCCTCGAAAACCGCAGTGCATATCCGTTGTGCACAGAGTTTATAGACCTTTATGTGCCTATTGGTTCGAGATCCCTGATTGCAGTCGCAGTAATAAGTCTTGGTTCCGGTAAAAGCGGAATTTGAGAGGACATCCTCTTTTTAAGTTCGTTTGCGTCTGACGGCTTTTGTCCTCAGCGGCAAATTTTGAGTCGTCACCTGGTAATGGAACACATTTTTCACGGTCTCCAAATCCCAATTTGGAACGGATGTCTCTGAAGGAATTATGCGTCGTGCTCATAGTATTAGATCCTTGTAGGAATGTTTGGATTAGCTACAACGAGAGAAAACCGAAAAAAACAATTTCTCGGTTGCCGACTTGGCCTTTTTCACATATTTTAACAAGCGAACATTAAACAAAAACTGGGAGAGCAGCCGTATCAATTGGAGGGGCTTTTTATTGGTCTGGGGGGAGGAAAAATTCAGTTTTTCTTTTACAAACCCACATGTGATGAACAACACAGACAAAGCGAACCCCTTAGTCACGAGGACCTGCGGTGGAAACCGGCAACCTGAGCCCCGGGACTTAGAGTGGCGAACCACATAAGACCCCGAAAGGTTCAGTGTAATATTGAACCGGACGACAGCAGGGCTGCTCACCATCAAAGTCGGATGTCGGTGGCTGGGCTCGAACCTCCGACCATAGATAGGGTCCAAAGCACTGCGCGTGTGGTAATAAATGAGAGCATGGAAGTTGTGAGAGTAACAAGAGTGAGATTAATGTGTGAGCAGTTTTGTAGTGTGGCGAGATTTAATGTTCTGTGTCATTATGCATGTGTGTGTGTGTGAGCGGTTTTTGTGCAACTGGCATCAAGCCAGTGAACCGATAATTGGGTCCCGTCCGATGGATTGACGCAAACTGGATCGTTGTTGTTGAACAACGACTCAACTAACTAACTAATCGTTCTCTTTATGACCTGAAACCTTATTTTGAGTGTCCTCCAGAAATAGAATGTAAAGCAATAGCTGAGTCCCTCTCAAGGTCCCCTGAGCTCCTATGGTTTTCTTGGAGGATGTTTGGACTTCCTGTCATGTCCTCGTCTTTAGTTGTGGACTTTTTTGTTCAATCAATCGAATCTCATTTACAGGATAAGATGTAAACAGTGTACAGCCATGTACGTTGGGTATGTATGTGTTCCAAGATTCCTTCTTTCTTCCTTGATTCTAGATACTCCGTCGAGTTTACTTAACTCCGTGAGCATATCTTTAAAGAGGCCACGCTGTCCTTTATTGATAAGTCTTATAGTTCAATAACTTGACTTCTATGGGTCATTAGTTCTGACATAATGCAATCGTCTACATCTTCCAGTGACGGGGAGAGAAAAATGAATAATTTCGTCGAATCCGTAAAGAACCCAAAATATGTGAAATTCGAAAACGCAATCGATTGAAACAGTTAACTTAAACCCAGTCCCTATCGATTGATTTGCCTAGCCCATACACCGATCGGAATGCGCCCGGATTCCACCGGATATGCGCACACAGAAAGTTGGTTCTGAGCTGCCAACTGGGAGACCCCGGAAAAAAATGCGGACACAAACCGCGGACAGCGCTGTTGGTTGATAGATAGCAGCGCAACAGAACAATTAATTCATGCCTGGTGGAATTCGAACTCCATGGGTTTTATCGTTCATTGTGAACTGGTAGTTTTCCCCGGTGAAACAGTTTGAACGTTTAATTAATCATTTAGTTCTCCATTGATAAAATTCTTTCACTCACTGATGATAGTGTAATCTCGCGATTTTGCAGCTTACCTATTCATCTGTGTGAAATCGAACTTTTCCGCATGATTTGAATTGTTGCCTAATGACTAATGCGCTTGACTGACGGTGGTGGACTCGGCCGACACGAACCAAGTAACCGTACCCGTTTGCCCACTGATACCCGAGAATCAGTTTTGCAAATGATAACCACAAGAAGCTAAAAATAATCCCCAATTGGCATGCAGTTCGCGCGTGTCACGTTTGATATCCTGTTAACAGTTGCACTGGGGTGAGTAATCGTAGAGCCAGCATTCCGCCGAATTTGTAAAGTGATAAACTGAAAATAACACCTGCATTGAATACCGAGTAACACACACAAAATGGGGAAGAAAAACCGGGTCTCTGTAAAAACCGATTTCTGTCGGCCAGAAAGTCCTGAGTGTCCTGTTTGTGAAGTATATGTGGTGCAACATAAAATTAAACGCGAATAAGCATCTTTACTACCGGAATCCGAAAAACGCGCAACTTCATAGGGTCAATTCTGATCCTACAATTTTGACACACTTAACTCCATTGAATAAAATAGTCAAACAGAAGAGAAGCGTTTCGTCTGGTTCACGATTTTAACGAAATTATAAAAAAAACAAGAATCCAAATATTTTAGGAATGTGTTGTCCTTGATTTTATCGAACAAATGATCCAGCTAAAAGCATATCCCTGAATTAGAGTTCCTGGTCCCCGGTAGAGAGCCACTCTATCAGATAAGCCACCACACTGCTCTTGTCGTGCCAAGTAGCTTAATCAATGCGGACACCGATTTACAGCCAACCAAGCACAGCTAAACACTAAACGAGAGCTTTGTAGATGAATAGCATGCTCAGATCGTTTTATTAGACGACAAATTAAAACAGTAACAAACAATAACAAACAAGCGTAGCTAGCAAATGCTTGATTACCCATTCGCGGCAATCCAATTAAAACACAAAAGAGACCAACTTTGAGCAATGACAGTCAAATCTTAGTATTGAACATTTCTGGAGGCGTGAAGGCTTTTTGGTGTTTGGCTGTGCGAATAGAAAAAAAC